TATTACTAAAATCGGAATCGTTTCCCACACTTCTACCACTTTCTTTATTTTTTATATTACAATTTTCTAATTGATCTTTTAATTCTCTCCACAAATATTCTATTGTATTCAGATCCGGTAGTTGTGGTGTTTCCAATAATATCAGGACATTATAATGCTTTTGCTATAAATGATATATTGATGACATTTGTAATTTTCCAACCGATGGTTATAAATTTCGTTTTAAAATGCCCAGATATTTCATCTTCTCCACTGTTTCCTCTATAAATTCGATATTTCCTGTTCCATCTGTTGCCATGCAGTCCTGTATCATGATTAATCTGCCATTGTATTTAAAATAGTCGTATATGAATTTTATGGAACTGCGCATTCGATCGTCTCCATACTATTTCTTTACCGTCCACACCAAATGAATTAATTTTAATTTCGTCAGAAAAAATTAAATTTTTCCAGAAACTTTATAGAAATTTACATGTTTGGCAAATTGCAAACATTTTAGTTTACTTGCTTTGGAAATATAGGGCTTTCTTCGAGGTACTCGACCGTGGTACCCCTCTCTGTTCCCCTTGACAGGCTTGCTAAGTCTTGAAGAATCATCTGTTGGTAATTTTGGCACATTAGTAGTGAGCTTAATTTTAATTTCTCGCGCTACATATCCTTCGTCATACTCGGAAAGAATATTTTTTACTGCACCTTCGTATCTAAATTTATTTATTATTTTATGTACAATAAAATGGATTCTACCATTAACTATGCTACTGATTTCCCACAGAGAACTTCCTTTACAATACAAATATACAATGATTTATCGAAGAAAAATATCAGTTTCTTTTCTTTCCGAAGTCGTTGTTAAACTGGTGCGAAATAACAAACGAAAATCAAAGCAAATTATGCTATGTGCCTTACAATGTGGGGTAACCGTACCTCTACAATAAAATCGAAAAACAAATGCATAACAATACATTAGGTTGGCAACTAAGTGATTACGGATTTTGTTAATACCACCTAATGACAAAATCTGCAATCACTTAGTTGCCAACCTAATACATATTTGGGGGATTCTTACTCCGCACGCTCAATTTTATATTGGTAAAATCGTTGTATGTCTGGGAACATTAATAAAGAAAACAAGATTAATTTATTTGACTATTTCTTTTCGGCGATCAAACTTAAACTGTAGTACAATACTTTTTGCTGTATTTTATAAAACATGGATCTAGTATACCCAATTTTGCTAGGTGTACATAAGTTTCAAAAAATTATATTAGGAAGAAAACAAATTTACAAAGTTATAAATTTATAAAGTAATTATAGAAGAACTGTTCAATTACATTATATTTCATGAATTTACAAATAAATTTTCCTTTGTGTCATATGAGTATGTCTATACTTTTATTTTATTCTATACGCCGTTTATTCTATACGACATATTGTATGGTTTGAAATATAGAAGCAATCTTTTATACATATTTCTAAAATTCAGTTCTTAAATATTTAAACGAGAATACAATTTTCTACAAAATAGCAAAGGCTGTTCACACCTTTGTCAATGTCTACGCAGTATCATTTACGATTTTGGGATACAAAATAATTCGTTACATTACTTTTATATATATTGCAGGTAAATAATTTTTTATTCTTAATCGCATTTCTCTTAGTTGAATTAAGAAAGTATATTAATTACATGACGAATATAATATGTGTAAAAGTAATGATCTCGAATAATTTATAATTTACAAACTGACTGAGAATAACTATCATAGTTCTTTACAATTCTATTTAGGCAATCAAATAGAATGGCGAATGGTTAAAAGCTTGCATTATTAAGGTCAAATAGTACCATACAATAATGTGACTTAATTTCCTAAATATAATACTTGCAAACAATACATAAATTTAAGTAAATATTTTTAACAATTCAAGTAAAATAAAAACATCTCTTTTACATAAACACACAAAATACAAATCCGCATAAACAAATTTATTTTGTGTTTAATTTTTAACATAAAATACACACTACTCTATTAGAAAAGTAACAATTAATTACTATTTTAATAACATTGCAAAAATACTAAAAATTAAGTCTTTTTGTATAATTCTTGTACTTTGGGAGGAAAAAAAAACAAAAATGAAACGTATTTTTTTAATATAAAAGTAACTAACGAATACTAGATATGTTAAATTACTTATATACTATTAGATTACTTGCTTATATAATTTTTATATCTTATAAAAACTAATATGTAACTTCAATAGTTGACAATAAATTTCTTCTGAAAAATACTTCTTTTTTATTTTAATTACTCCTACATAATGCTAAGATGATAAACTTAAAACTTAGTAAGGTTTGTTTCAGAAGTAATCACTATTGTTATGTCAAATAAAATGTTTTCTATATTTTTTAAGCAATTAACACTAAACCTACCACTGTCGGTCAATTTGACCGTCCTCAAACTTTTGTACAACTTTCACGTATTTAAACATTATCACATCGCTATCAAAATATACAGCTTTTCTTAAAATATACATACAATGTATTCTTCAGTATTTACTTCTCTCTCCTCTCTCTCTCTCTTTTTTCCAAGAAATATATGTAGCCTGTCCTACCTACCGTCGCCGGTCTATTTAACCGCTCGAGATAGTATGGTATTACTTTCCTAAACTTATACAACCAGTATAAAAGAAAGGCTATCTGAATATGGCATTTCTCTAGAGAAATGACCAAATGGCAAGAAAATATTGTAGCTGGCCCCTCCAGGTGTTTTTCAATATTCTGGATCTAGCTGGAATAAACGCCTGGGTTTTGTATAAAGAAACTATGGGAGAACAAATTTTAAAGCAGGAATTTTTATTCTAGTTAGTTAGAGAACTTGGCGCTGCGTATTAAGAATTACAGGAAGAAGAAAATGTACCAAATGTACATGATATGTACCGTGATACAATGTATCATGTATCAACAAATACAAGTTTGAATCTTGTCAAGTAAAATATTGTAGAGTTTCCTAAACTTATACAACCAGTATAAAAGAAAGGCTATCTGAATATGGCATTTCTCTAGAGAAATGACCAAATGGCAAGAAAATATTGTAGCTGGCCCCTCCAGGTGTTTTTCAATATTCTGGATCTAGCTGGAATAAACGCCTGGGTTTTGTATAAAGAAACAATGGGAGAACAAATTTTAAAGCAGGAATTTTTATTCTAGTTAGTTAGAGAACTTGGCGCTGCGTATTAAGAATCGCAGGAAGAAGAAAAACCGTGATACAATGTATCATGTATCAACAAATACAAGTTTGAATCTTGTCAAGTAAAATATTGTAGAGTTTCCTAAACTTATACAACCAGTATAAAAGAAAGGCTATCTGAATATGGCATTTCTCTAGAGAAATGACCAAATGGCAAGAAAATATTGTAGCTGGCCCCTCCAGGTGTTTTTCAATATTCTGGATCTAGCTGGAATAAACGCCTGGGTTTTGTATAAAGAAACAATGGGAGAACAAATTTTAAAGCAGGAATTTTTATTCTTGTTAGTTAGAGAACTTGGCGCTGCGTATTAAGAATCGCAGGAAGAAGAAAAACCGTGATACAATGTATCATGTATCAACAAATACAAGTTCGAATCTTGTCAAGTAAAATATTGTAGAGTTTACAAAACTACAAAAATCTGTTCGGGATGCAAAAAATATGTGTGCGACAAATGTACATTCGAGAATAGAATAATTTGTAAAAAATGCAGTAAAGGCGAATAGGATTATATATTATTTATATATTTAAAAAAATGTGTATTTACGTGTATATAAGGTGCATAGGAATGAAAGAAACTATATAACTACCGTTCAATTTTAATACTCTTTCCTAGTTTATAATTGAAATTATATAAAAATAACAAAAAGCAACAAAATTCAATAACTTTTTTTTAAGAACCGATCATTTTGACCGGACACAATAAAAGTAGGTATATAAGAAGTGTCGGTAGGTTTAGTGTCAATATTTAATATTAAAATTGTCATAAATATTATAAACATATAACATATAAAGATAATGATACTATCAGCACTAAAAATAAGTAGCATATAAGTTGTACTAACAATGTATCTACAAGGACAAGAATTAATTTATAAAATTTATTAATATAATAGGATGTATAAAATTCAACAAATCAAATTGGAACTACTTTAAAATTAAAATATCACATTACTTTAATATTGTTTCATATTCATTGCTTTCAAGATTACTGTCAACCATAAATAATACAACCAATAGATAATACTTTTCAAGCAAACCTTACAAAATTGAATATATAATTAATATTTTTTGATATACATAATATTTATTTTAAAAAAGAATAAACTGCCTAGAATCATACTTAGAACTTTTAGCAATTTAATATACTTTGCTATATTCTTTGCAAATTAAATTAGTTAAAAAAAGGTATTTGGCATGACATATCTTCTCTAAAAGTTATAATTTTCGTAAAATATTATGTTTAATATAAAGTAAATAAGAACAAGAGTTTCTTCAAGATTTTAGAAATGGTTAAATGGTAACCTTAAAAACTTTGTTGAAGCCTTAGTATGTATTTTGTACATTGAAAAAACTAACATAATAACAAAAAATCTAGCAAGTAAAATCTTAAAAAAATTTATAATTTAAATATTATTGAAGAGATCATTCAAATGCTTTCTTTCATAAACTTTGTATCTGAAAGCATACTTTGCTGTATTATTTACATTTATGTACATTTACAAATTGTATAGTAAGTTTTCTTATTTCTTCGAATTTAAATAATTTTATAAATTAAGAAATACAAAATCTAATATTTTGCAATGTCGGAAAGATTAAAGTGATGTCAATAGTAATTAATATTATGTAACGGCAATTTTATGCGCTACAATAATTGATATTCTGTTGCATAAAACTTTATGATTTTTATACACATACATGCACAATCTTGTAGAAAATCTGCATCTCAGCTAATTTTAATATCAATAAATATCGTTTTCAATTAATTCTCATCAAAATATCAAATTGTCTTATACCACAATATGGTATACTTTATGCTGCTTGATATAATACATTTAGAATTATTCGTTAAAGTAAATTATTTCACATACTATATAAGAGTTATAAAACTTTGCTTACAATTATTTTGCATTACAATATTATATTTACATAATTACACACAAAAGTAATTTTTTCATAAATGAGGACATTTTTCATTAAACGATTATAGATATCCTCAATTGAATGAAAATTATTAGAACTATATCAAAGCTAAGTAGTCATTGAAATTAGATAAAATGGAGGATAATACTGCTCAATTTTACACACAGGAAATTACGAACACTAAAAGAGTTCTTATTCTTTTAATATGAAACTGCCTGTGTCTAACAGAATACAGGTACGATCTATGATATCTAAACATTCTCCATATTGTTGCTTTGGAATTCTTCGAAAAATTATACTAATGTTGATCTTCGATTGTTGTACTATACACTTTTCCAGTATGCAAATATCTCCCCACAATAATTTATCTTCTCATTTATACAGTATTTATAAGTTTAAGGGACCCTCAAATGATCAATATATATATATTATCAATATTTCAGGCTTCTGAACACGATATTATTATGCATGTAAGGAGATCCTCAGATATTATATGTATATTGTACTTTGCGAACGCGTGTCAGTATGTAGCCGCCTGAATCTGTTCACAGTTCCGTACAGTTATTTTGAAGTGGCTGGCGTACGTCTATTTTTCCGAACGATAATCATACGTATTTACGCATGGGTACAGTAAACTAAACAGTATTATGTTTCTGATGAAAGGAAATTATAGATCTTTAGAAATCTTATCTTCCGTTTAACGTAAACTCGCGATGCAGGTCGAGTCAGAACGAATTTCAATCTTTCCATGGCATTGCCAGATGAATCAGAAAGCTTTTTATATAATTTATATATTTTTTATAATATCTTATACAGGATGCCTAAAAGTTCCAGAAAAAACATGTTCGATAGTGATAGTAGTAATGACGAACATTATTTTCAACCTGACAAGATAGAAGGTGACGACAGTCTTTCAGACAATGGAAACGAACTCCGTTTAATTAACAAGGAATCGGCTCAGACGTTTCAATATTTCTAGTAATAGTGACAGTGATGATAAACTAAATATTGATGAAAATAATACAATGAATAACGCAAACGTTCAACATGTATATTTTCTCAACTGCGCGCGCCAATACCTCTCGTTCACAGCGATGCTTGCTCGTCAAGCGGCCCCTCAAAGGGTTACTATATGTATATTGATTATCTAAGAATCTCTTTACATGCACAATAATGTTGAGAAGTCTGAAATATTGGCAATATGCACGCACGCACGCATGCACATACACACACACGATCACGAAAGGACCCTTTTACGATGCCACAGTCTTATAGAGTAATGTACAGTTGATTATTTATATATCAGAAAAATTTCTTACAATAATGAATTTCCATAATATCGATCATCGACTAACCTTTCTCCATTTGCGTTTTGACTCACCGGACGGACTCCATTCTGAATCAGCATCGGCGTAAGAATAATTTACTTTAGGAACGTTCCATTCTTCCTTCTTTCTTCCCGTAGAGGCGATTATTTCTTCTTTACTCTTTTGTACGTTCCTTCTTACTCCATCAGTTCTCTGTTAAGTCAGTTTAAACGATTAATTTTTTTCCGTCGCGTGGATGTTTTAACTGTTCTTTGGAGATTCTTGATAATACGATATTATCAGTTTGATACTTTGTCGATCGAAATTGGCATTCTTACACCCACTGTCTACAAAGTGTAGCTTCATACGTGTGTTGATGTTAACAACACTCCTCCATGCAGCAGTCACTGTAAAGTAACGTACATTTGTCCAAAAAAAGGAAATGAATCGTTTTCGTAATGACGACTGACGTTAACACTGTCAGCAGAGAAGCGTATGTTGCAACTATAAACGGATATAGTGATTTGTGGACAGTGAGCTTTAGTCTTTCTTTCGCGAGATTCTGATGCGAACTGGCAACGTGTACGTCTTTATTATAATTTCTTTCTATCAAATGCAAATTGCAGTAATAATCACCATGCGGTTTTTTCTTTTCACAAGAGATAGTTCGTATTTGGATTTAACAATTTCGTCGGACTTCTTTCGCGTACTGTCTAACGCTTTTACAGCAGCTACAATCTATCTTAGGTATAGCTGAATAACTGTCTATTTTTTCAACTTTCATTGGCATTTTTCCGTAAGCTGTAGCATGTCATTTTTAAAAGGGCAACCTATTTTTCGTATCTTCTTTCAACATTCTTTTCAAGTCATACTGTACTTCAAGTGTCTCCAATGTTTTATTTTGTAAAGGAATTTTTCCATTTTACACAATAATTGATAAAGTTTTGCTATTGATGAATGCACTGGGAAAAAATAGGAATTATTTTGGTACAAAACATATGGATATCCGTCGCCAGACGTATACACTGTTTGCAATGTGCGACAATATAGTAATGTAATTTAGCAGCAATACAACCTTTTACATGGGCTACTCAATTTGGCATGCGAATGAAGGAAAGTTGTGTATATTAATTTGTAAACTACATAATACTGATGCACAATACATATATGACACATATAATTCTATATTGCCAACACAATTTTTATAGATCAATGGTATAGTGGTTGATGAGTATCTGCCACTTTATGTAAATTATTACATCCTTTCAGATATTATCTGCGATGACACACCAAATACTTCATTAGATACACAGGGCACATCTTTATTAATATGTTTGCGAATATTATTATCGCACTTATCGTCTATTATATCCTGCTTCTTGAAGTTTGCACCAATATAAGAAATTCCATTATTTCCAATATTTTCATTCAATCACATTCCTTTAATTGCATTAGAAATATCTTTTTCATTCATAGAAAAAGATTCGAAAATAGATTCTTTGATGTTAGCGATGTTTGATGTATTTTCTCTTACATCCTCTTTTATTTTGTCGTAATTACAAATTTCCAATTCTGGTAGCGCACAGAATTCAGTTTGTGCAATATTTGTACATTTTAATGATTTCGATACCATTTGCGATTCAAATTTCTTTTGCATTGTTGAAATTTCGAGTAGTGCATCTGATGATTTCTGTTTCTCCTCGTAATTTAATATTCCTTTAACGGGAGAGGTGTCAACCTTCTCTATTGTTTCAGTAGAACTTGTTTCTATTTTATCATTATTTTGCACTGTAATTAACGTATCATAATTGAAATGCCATTAATAAAAGATAATTACGATAATAATATAATCTTTTCAAGTAATTTTACAATCATAATAAAATAAAATAATTTTTATCGCTTAAAATTGCATAATGATGTTACTAAATTTGCTTTGTTAGAATAATAAAGATATGTATCATTCTTAATAAAAGCATATATAATTTGTGTAATCAGTTTAGAAAGCTTAATATAAATTTTGTTCTATTACTACAAAATGGACTATACATACTTTAATAAAATAATATAAAACAAAAAATGTTGTGCATCTACCATTCCCTTATAAAATGAAATGAATTTTTGAGACAACCTAATATTTGTTTTTGTTGGGAATAACTTATTTTCGAAATTTGTTTACATTTCATTGACTCACCTACTATATTCTTCAATTTATTTGTATACATCACACCTATAAACAAAAACATAATTTAATGTAATATACTGCATATTTATAAAAAATATTATAACGTTACATTCATAAAAATGAATAACTACTAATATCATATTAAAATTTTACAAATATGCATATGCAAATATACATATAACTCTAAAAATATGAAATAAACTTACCTCTGAATAATATTACTTCTTAAAGATAATACATTTATGTAATATTATATTCTAATAAGGTAGATGAAAAATATGTAAATATGTGTATCACATTACCATTTTTTTCACTTAGGAAAATGTTATAGGTACCAGAAAATTTATAGCTATAAATATGAATCTTGAGTTACAAATTACCACAAACTTTATTCTTCTTTATGCTTATAATTGCATTTTTGTTTATGCAAAGAATTTTAATTATGATGAATTTATGAAACACTAAAAGTACTAAAATATCTTCCAATGTTGATCTTCCATGTGGAAAATTATTAATTTTGTCTTTGTTTCGAAATTTAATATGTAAATATTAAAATAAGTATGATGACTTTTATTTGAAAGAACTATCATTATGTGTTTTTAGTACTCCTATTGGATACGTATATAAGATGTAAAATATACATATAAATTTTCTTATATAATACAATCATTTTATGATAGTATTTAGCTATAAGACATTTTATTTATTTATTCAAAATAATATTCTATAACTATATTGAAAATGGACTCATATTTCAAGGAAAACATATAGTTACCTTTCTTAGTAGAAACATAATGCTTTCTTTGCATTTTTTGCTGATTTACAGAACTAACACTTGTATTTGTGTTTACAGTTGATGAAAATGTTGAAGTTAATTTTCTTTTCTTCAAAGGTATATCTTCATCTAAAATTGCTTGTTCTTTAATAGAATTTGATGGCTGTACATTTATATTCTGTGATATCCACTTAGCAGACTTTATATTATTTGAAAATTCAGTTATGTCGTTATCTGTTATAAAATTTGCTTTTGTAATATTAGTATCGATGTTCATATTTCTTTTTGATATTTTGAAATGAGTGTTATCTTCAGTTGCATATGATTTTTCTGGTACATTTAACATTCTTGAATCTTCCGAGATATTATCTTCCATGACGCACTGGAGATTTTGTAATTTAGAATCTTCCTTGTAGATTGAATTAACCATGGAATCTTCATGAAAATTTAATACTATTTGTTGCTTCTGTTGAGACATACGCTTCGATTGTTGAACATTTGCACAATTTAGTTGTTTCTTTCCATTTTTAGGTGATGTTTGACAATATGACATGTGAAATGTTGATAGCGATGATTCACATGTATTTTGCACATCTTCATAATCCAAAGGATTAACAATAGTAATTTGTGAACATCTTAAACTCAATTCATTCTGATTAGATTGAACAATAGATGAAGATAATTGCTTTTCTTTTTTCTTTGTTTTAATTTTCTTTTTACATTTTAATATCTGTTTAGGTGATCTAGATTGTAGATGACCACTAATTTCTGTTCTACATTTCATAATAGGATTTTGTTTTTCTTCACAATTGTATTGCATGTTTTCCTGAGAATTTTTTTGTCTTAAAGAACTTTCATCTGTTTGTTCAATGCGCTGCAGTGTTGTATCAGTATTACATGATATTAAATCTGTGGAAGACAATAAATCACAAGAATCTAAAGATTCTTTTATTACTAAAGGACTAGTTTCAAGTTCTACACATGTATACTTTTGTAATGAATGAATATCATTCTCTTGTTGATTTAATATATAATTCATAGATTCATCTGATGGAATGTTGTTGGAAATACAAATTTCAGGTAAATCTTCATTTTTTTTATCATTGAATGATTGGGTTTGATTAATAGTATCTTCCTTTTGAAAAATATAAAATGTTTCTTTAAGACTACCAACATTAAACTTATCAGTAGGACTAGAAAGACTGCATTTAGGAAACGATTCTTTCTCTTCAGAAAGTATGCTATCTGAATTAACTAAAGTAATTGATTGACCAGACAATGAAGGTGTACTTTTAATTACTGGAAGAATTTCAAGCACTTCTTCTCTACTTGTGTCCAATTCAAATCCAATCATATCCACGCTATTATTAACAGAATGATTTTGATTACTACACAATTCCTTATCCTCTTGTGAAAGTGTATTTTCTAAATCATTTCTTTCAGCTGTCTTTTCTTCAAAAGATTTCTCAATCAACCGAGGATTAACTGCTTGTATGTTTGAATACATAAAATTATTCGAAGGAGAGTCCATATTTGTTAAATAAAAATCAAATAAAAAATTTAATATTCCAGTTCTTCCAAAGCTGCCTTCAGATAATAATGTTTGAGAATCTTCTGCATCTGACAATATGTACTTTTCTTCCATTTCATTGGTATGCAAATGTTCAGGCTGTGAAAAAAATTCTGTAATGCAATGTAATACACTATCCGAATTATCATAGATTAATGGTGATTTTAAATCTCCCCAAATTTTTTGTTCGTCTTCAATAGTTTCTTGTTCATCGCCATACAGGATACTATCAAAGATAGTGATATTTTCAAATTCCCCTATGGAACGTGATTCTTCTATATCAGCTTCTTGTGACAAATTTTGTAACGTAGATTCCCAATGCATATCTTGATTTGATTCTTTAGTATTTTCCAGATTATGTGTAAAAGATATGTCACAAGTTTGATTATTTGTTAGTACATTAATTTTATGTTGATCTGTGTCTTGTATATTATGTTTTAGAATTTCAAGATTTTTATTTTCTTTCTTAATAGGTTGTTCAAATTCGGATTTTATATGGTTACAGATAAGGTTTGAAGATGGTTTGCTTCCAGAAAAAATATTATTTTTTCCATAAGAATGATATTCTTTTGATTGAGGGATTGATTTATGAAATTCATTTAAAAAATGAAGATTTTGACAGTCACATACATTCAATAAGTCCTTTTTTCCATATAGTTCCAAAATCTTACTAAGTTTTTCTGTATTTGTTAATGAATTAATATTTTGTAACCAATCTGACGATGACGACAACGATGACGATGATGAGGATGATTCTGCACACTGATTTCCCAAAACTGTAGTAGAAACAGTACATATGTCTATTTTGTTTAAACATTCTAGGCGCTGTTTTTCTGCATAAATGGTCATAATATGTTCACCAATACGATTTAAAACGTCCATACATTTGTCAAGATCACTTAGCATACACATTATATTTTTGTCACAAATTGTTGTTTTATCGATGGTATTATTATCTATTGTATTATGTGTTACATCTTCATTCTTTATTGTATTAAATATACTATCGTTATGATAGGAGAAAGGTTTTACCTCAATCTTCTTACAGCATCCTGTACATTCATGAATTTCCTGAACAATGTTCTTTTTCATGGTCTCTACCACTTGCGAATTATGATCACTCATAGATCGTAAATTATGTAAATGATCATCATTTTGTACATAAGCAGATTCAGTTTGGCAATAAGTATTTTCTTCTATCACATTACAATCTGTATTTATTGGCAATTGTTGTTTCATAGATTGTACATTTGTAATATTATTTTGGCACTCGCTTGACAAAAATATTGTCTTTATGGAACTTTTTAGCTGAGAAAACAATTCTTTACCCTGAGTATCTATTTCATTAGATTCATTAGCTGTGTTTCTAAAAGAAAAACTATGTTCAGAAGACATATTTTCATCCCTACTTTCTCTCAGTAGATTTAATATGGCTTTTGGTTCTTTAGTATTTTGTCCCACAGTGCTTAGAAATTTCAGTAAATATAGAATTTTACTGCATTGCACATCAGTTTGTTTTATTGATGAAGTACATGTATCACACCACCTATGTTGAAACATACATTTCAATTCAGTATTTCTCTTATCGAATATACGATTAAGTATATTTTCCAAATTATCAATATTATTTTGAACTGATTTTTGTTCAGTTGAAGTACAACTTGCTGTACTTTCACTAACTTTATTGTCTAAAATTGGTAAATCTCCTAGAAGAATGTTATTAGAACAATTTTTAAAGTCATCTGCACTACAAACATCGGCAATTTCTATTTGATCTCTATATTTTATTTCATCAATTTGTTTCTGCACTTTATATTTTTTCTTTGCCATTTTTAACCACTCTAAATTTCTTTGACACCTTTTCTTCTTTTTCTTTTTATCAATTCCTAATTCATCTTCCTCAGCTAAATTAATTAAAATTACCTCTCCAGGTTTTAATTTCGATGTCTTTTTATACTTCTCAAATTTGTTTCTTTTTCTTGGTAAAGAAAGTGGTTGACTGCTAATTTTACTGTTTTTCATGTTCTCTTCAAAAGAATAATTATTTTCTAAGTTACCTATATGACTTTTCTTCAATTCATAACTTGCAAAAAATTTGTGTACATCATATGACAAATTCTAAAAGAAAATAAAAAATAAGAATTACGTTATATAAACATTGCAAATATTATTTAATAAAAAAATTTACCTGTGATAATTGGAAATTCAGCTCGGAAGTTCTTGTTAAGGGAGTTTCTTTAAATTCAGCAAACATTGTTTCTTCAAATACTAAAAAATTATTGCATGCAGTTTTTAAGTCAAATGCATTTGATTGCAATAGCCAAATAGTCTCATTTTCAAGCCCTGTGGGTGCTTTAGGTATAATGTTTAATAATTCGTCACGCATTTTTGGAATACATGGACCTAATATCGTTAGAGCCTTCTTATTCAATTGCCTTTTCTCTTCAACAGTTTCTTTTATCCTTTTCCATACTTTCAAAAAAAGCAAATACCTGACATAATCTACATCTGTCAAAGAATCTACATTCTTTGTAATATTAGCAAAACTTTTCCTGGTATAAAAAGAATAGTTTACATTACATAAAAAGACATTTTTATACTACATTTATTTTTAGACTAAGAAGCAAAGAATATAAAATATTTACGTACATAAATATAAGGTCACAAACTTTTGCATATTTCTTAGTAGTAAACTTTAGTTTAAGCAGCACTCTGAAAATATGCTTTTCTGAATTACCTGAAACAAAAGTAAATATTACTTTCTAATGTTATTTGTGTCTTATAAGTATGAAAAATGATATTCCATCTTTATAATAAAAGAACATAATAATTCTACTGGTGTAATATATTTCATATTATACCTTTTTTAACTTACTTAAATATATCCATAATGCTGAAAGAAGTTTTGAAGCAAGTTTAGAAGAATCCATAGTGTGTTTAGAAGTTTTGAGTTCTATATCTATATATATTCCCAATATCACTGACATCTCACTTAAATATAAGTTGCAATCACTAACATGCTATTAAAAACATTCATCAGTAAATTATTAGTATGTTGTCGCTTTTATTAAATTCATATAATTTTTTATTAAATTCATAAAATTCATAATTTCTAACAATACCTCTTTAATATCATTCCAGTAAAGATGAAAAAATATTAGTGTGTTACGTAGATGAGTTTTTAATTTTATCATATCTGGTGTCTTTTCACGATATGTATTTATACTGGTTAAAATATTTCTGAAATACAAAATATTGATCAATTAGTTTTAAACTATGAATTATGATGCAATTATATATTTTAATGTAAATAATTTTGTTATTATTATCTTTCTTTTAATTTCAGAAAAAAAACAATAATCTTACTGTGTGTAAAGGAAAAGTAAATGTTTTAACAATTGGTAATTTCTATGTCCCACAGATGAACACATTATTTTATTAAATTTACTGAGCCATGGAAATATATTTTCAGGTGATTTAACATCAACGAGGCTATTATCCTCATGTTCTTGATTTTCATATTTCTTTGAAACATTGATAGGACTATTGCGTATCCATATTAAATCTATCTCATCCTTTTCATCCATTATTATTTCTTTTTCTAAACTATATAAATATTCAATAAAATAAAAATATATAACAACTTTTTGAAAATATATGATGTTTTTATCGCTAAATAACATTCAATTAGATTACAGAATGTTATTGTTTGGTATGTTTATTTCTTCTTTCTTCGCCTACCTCTCATGATATATTAGAATGATAATATTTATTAGTCAATGAATTATCGTTTAATAAATTGTCAATCAAGGTAAAAGAACTGCTTATATTCGTGTCCTGTGTAGAATGAGCCATAATTTTCATTAAAAATAATCTTATTAAACCTAAAAAAAAAACAACAAGATTATGTATATATAATGTATTACAATATATATATAAAGGTCACAAAAGAAAAACGTGATAAGTACATTTTTGTTAATTTTTTGATTTTGATGTTACTTTATGATTAAATAGGAGTGTTTTAACATCATATAATGAAGAACAGAAACAATCTGTCGGATCGAAAGCTGCTAGTATTTGAAAAATAGCTGATAAATTGACAAAGTTGTGCGAAAACCAAAGTCATAATTATTAAGACAAGCAATATTTATCTTTGATATTATAATATTATAATGAGCAGTATCTTAAAAATTTTTTAAAGTAAGAAAATGTTTTATTCCGAAATCGAATAAAAAGACAATCTTGATAACACAGGATTGATTGACAATGTAGTGAATTTAAGACCTTTGCTGCAAAAAGAAATAGGAAATTTAACTTATCATATTTTTCCCTGTAGTCTTCATATATCGTAATAACTTATTTAATATTTTGACGAAATATTTCGATGAACAAAATCAATGATTTCTACATGACATGTTTATTAACTATTTGTTAGTTGAAATTGATTTCTTAATTATGAGTCGAAGAATTATTACATACTTTTTGCGCTATACATAGAACAAGCGTGTGCTATAACAACGACACCAAAGAAAACAAAATCAAGCTACTCACAGTCAGTAATAATTGTACACGTGTTGTAACATAATATTTAATATAGTCGAGACATCGGTACGATTCATAATACAATTACGTATTGACGTTTAGACATGTCATGCAGAAAATTTAAAAGAATAACAGTCAATAATCAACAATGAGAGGCTGCAAGTTTCTTTTAACGTGATTTTGTTTTTAGAAGCACATCAAAAATGCAGAGACTCAATACCCCCACTTCCATCAGTCACACTGTGTTACATCGTTTACTACACATACACGCAACAAAATGAAACTAAACGGGCACAGCCGTCACTTTCATTTCTTCGCAAATAAGCGAACTCATAGTTTCAGTTTTTCGCATTTGCAACAGCACAGCCGTACACGAAAGTAAATTTATTGCAATTTGTGCCGCCTGTTGTTAGTGTACTCGAAACTTACAATTCTTTGAAAATCGAGTAAAACGCAGTGCCTGGCGTCGATGCTAGATCAACGCCGTCGTTGTCGTAACATTCAGATCGTCGCTACGGAAGTTGCAGATACAGGTACGGTCGCACCCATCAAGGAACCCTCGTATATTGTACAAAATAACCTTTCTTTTACTTATCATTGCTAGTGAGATACCAAAGTATTTTATCCAAATTTCATAAATTATTTTTTCTCCAAATGTTAAAGTAGATTCGATTTTTCGAAATCATAATCGTGTCTCTGATTATCATTGTAAAATTTAGTGTTACTTAAATTCAACATTTTTCTATGTTTACATATATAACGAGTATATATTTCTTCAAAATGAATTATTATTTATATGTATTATTGAAACAATAAATAAAGTAATATGATTATATAATTTTATATATTCCTATCATAATACCACGTGCATGTTTCACAAATTAATCCATCTACAAACATAGAAACCACGTCTCTTCTATTAAATATAAAATTGTATCACTCTGTCGCAAGTAGTGTCAATCCAATTGACAAAAGAATTTCGTAAAATGACCCACGCTGTCACGTGAGTTTCATTCAAATCGGCCGTAAAAGTTCAGTATATACGGTCCTGAGAAGAGAAGTTGCACATCGAAGCGCAGACGTTACTCGAACTTTTCGGCTATAATAACCGCTAGCGGCCGATCACGTATGTGACATGGCGTCCGGGTAGAAAGAAAGTTGACTGTTAAATAAGCGTTAATGTTGTTTTTATGACATTGACCGACCGAAAAGGGAACATCCGAGGCCGCGAATTTCCCACAGACACCGGCATTGATGGTAATGCATGCGAGGAAACCACAAAGGATCAGCGATGGGTAGGGTACCGACGTCAAATACCCAATCCTGACACAACCAACCTCTACTCACCTCACCTCTCATCTACAAAGTCCGTCCATCCGACCCACTCGATATTACTACTACCGCTATTCGTGGGAGAGATTCCTCGATGGAAATATCATTTTCCATCCTGGAATGCCCACTGTCTAGCGATTTTATTCACTATTTGTTTTCTATGGTTTCAGGTACTTCGAAAAGCACCAGGCCCATCCCTATCAGGTAAATATCATTCGAGCAATTGGTGTCGGGGGTTTGGGAGTGGGGTAATTCGTTCACAGTGCGATTGTACGCACGATTTTACCGCGATTCTGTTCATTCTCGTATCAAATAAAACAATTCACTCATTTCATTCGCGCTTTTTTCTTTAGATAATTACGTGATCAACTGTGTCAGTAGCTCTTTCATATTTCTTACGTTATCTTTCTTTCCTTAATAGTTCGTTGTTAACTAAATTACAATTAGTAAAGATTAGTTGTAAAGATTGTGTTATAATCGAATGTACGATATTTTCTTTTCTTCTAGCATTTCTGATATTTCTCGTACAATTTGCCCGCCTATTTTGTCCCTTTCATGTAGTGCAAGTATCGCTTAGTTTGTGTGTGTTGATGATGTGTATGCTATATATATATATATATATATATATATTTACACATATATATGCATATATATGTGTATATATATATATATTCTTGCTTTAGATTCCCGTAATCGAGTGTCAAAGTAATTTCGTTCGTATAGTTTTATAAGAGACTACAGACACGAATTGTAAATCATATATATTGCGAAAAATATCAGTTCTCTTCTCTATATGAGTTTAGTCAGTTTTATACGTTACAAGTTCGATACTTTGAAATTGTGTAAGTGAACTTGGTTATTGTTTATTTTTTTCGAAAAATCTTAAAATCTCATTTTATAAATGTAAAAACGGAATGAATTATTAAATTATACATACTCTTTGAGTATATGTAACCTTTTTGTGCATAAATTTATTTTTGTTCTTTTATATTTTTGATTATATATCAAAAACATTAAGGCAGATGTAACAAAAAGTCTGACATTTTCTTCAAGTGCTGTGCAAAAACTTCAATTATATATTGTCCTTGAAGTATTCATTCAATTATTAGTATTATTAAAAATGCACTAATTCTATACACGTTTCAGTATATTTTTGCAATTTATATTCAATATCGCAAAAATAGTGCGCAAATTGATGTAATTTTGTTGCTTTCGATAAAAGATAAAAATTTTACTTAATCTTGTAAACATAACCTCACTTTTAGAAAATCAATAATTCATTCTTCTACATTATGCAGATTACTAATAGTACATTGGAAGTGTTGCATGTATATATTAATTAAAGATTTTTCTACAATATATTATTTGCAACAATCGTTTTTTAGTAAAAGTAATAAATAATTTCACGATATTTCAATTATGCTTAATTCATTCATTTTTTCCTCATATAGGCTGTAAAAATAGTATTGAACTATTCTTTAATAAAAAACACGATGTATTGTTAAATATTTCCTGTGTAGAATTGGAATTTAATATGATAAACAGTTTTGTATACAATAGTTTTTTGTAGGGTAGTTGTTATATCATAACAACATATTTTTGATATTTTTCATAATTGCTAACAATAAAGAATATAATAAGAAGTATATGAAAGTTTTTATGATCATTATCAAATGTTAAACTTTATTTTTTATACTTTTAAGAGACAGGAGGTACACATATAATGTAAAAGTAAATAAATTAACATTTATGAAATTAATCTGTCAAAAAAAAGTAATTTATTGAAAATTTGATTTAATCATATTTGATATTCAATATTTTCATACAGAACGCAAAATATAACAGTTCTAAGGGTGGATACTCATCATCAACAACATCATCAGATAGTCGTTACGAGGGACGTATGCGAGATTCCCCAAATGGCAACTCTTATAGTCCAGCAGGGGGCTTGGGTATGGGTATGGGAACAGATAGAGACAGTCCTCGCAGCTACACATCCAAGCCCCTATACAAGAAGGAGAGAGAAAACAGAGACTACAAGTTATCCTCCTCTAGGGACAAGTACTCGGGTAAATAACATTTAAATATTTTTTACATATATCAGAATTATTATACTTTAAAATGGTATTCAAAACATATGATACATTAAAGATGTATTCAAAAAGCTTAATAAAGATTTGTCAAATATTTATATTATGAAAAATTTGGTAAATGTAATTTTATTCTATGTTAAATAATAATACAGTCATTTTTGCTATAACCTGTTGATGCCATTCGTAAAGCATGAGAATTATGTTACAAGTAAGCTTTAAGATAACACAATTTTTTGTAAGTTCTTGAAATATATGATAAAATAAAAAATATTATCAATAAAAGAGCATCATATTTAAGAGCAGTAAAATAGGATTTGATATTTATAAAAATATGTATATGTTATGTATCATACTCACTAATTGTAATTAATAATATTTATGTTACGACAAATGTATATGGATCTGGATTTTAAAGATTAATATCAAGATTAAGTGATACGAACATGATATATCTTTAGTTAGAATTTACTTTAATTATCTCTATAGTGTTGTTTAAAATAATGTTTTAGAATAATGTTCTATTATTGTTACGAGATGTAAAACACATAAAGAAAGACTATATATGTATAAAGAAGAATAAATGTGTAAAAAAATGAATAGTAAAAGAGATGTTATATATTTAACTATATTTCATATATTCATTAAGAATAATAAATGAATAGTGCTTTTATTTCAATGCCTTTTAAATTTTATTTTTTAAAATTATGAAATCTGTGTTATAGCAAAATCGGCTGTATAATTTCTTTGAGAATTAAAGTTTTATTCCTTCTTTCTTCAGTATAAAAACAGGGTTGTGTCTTAACATTTTCAGCTGTAACATGCTTACTTGCATATGTGTAGATTGTGCACGATCCCCAAAAGACAAGAGAAGCCGTGAGAGCAGAGATTCAGAACACAGGACCAACCATGATAGGAGTAGTGGAGAGGTAAGAATATTATCATTTATTATCTAATTAATTTTTAGATTTGAGTAATATTAAATATTAATTCTTTAATATAATTTTCGATATTTTCTAAATGTTTGATTATCATATGGTAATTAAAAATATAATTTATTTGGATTTCATAAATATAAAATTATTTACATATAATGAGTACATTGAATTTTCCCTTAATATTGCATTCAAAATTTTTTTGCACATTTACATAGTAGTTGGACTGTGGAACATTTTGTATATGGTTGCAGCTCCAATTTGTCTAAATGGCTTATATTTTATACAAGTTGCATACTTTTGAGATACAATATTATATAGAAATATATTACTGATATATAATATCTGAATATTGTTTGCTTATTTTTACAGATTTTACATCCTATAAAATTATCATCGAATTCATCAAGAGAGTCATCATCTCAGAGAAAACCATCACATAATTCCTGTCAGGTCAGTATAAAATGTACTTCATACGAGTGTTACTAAAACGATGTACATATAAATCAAAAGATAGTTAGAAATAGTTTGAAAGGATATAATAGAGGTGAAAAGAACATGTTTATTGAATAATTTGAATTAAATATATTATATATATATATTTTACACATATTCGATGTGATAAACAATACAAAAATTTAATGATAAATTATTAACATTTAAATGAATATTATTAAATTGTTATGTATAATGTGTCATCTTAAAAGTTAAAAAATTGTCAAGTATTGAAGTTCAATGGGGGTACACAGGATCAACATCATGGACAAATGTAATTTCAACTTTTCGAACAAGTTTTGGAATTCATATGAATATTTTCCATCGATTCAATCGTTTCCGGAAATTTTAGAACAGTCTGTTTAGGACAAACGTGGTGATGAGCGAGGAGGTGCAATGGAACGTTCGGCCAGGTTTGGTGATTGGTCAGAACATATGAGTTCTTCAGGCAAGAAGTATTATTACAACTGCAAAACAGAAGTTTCTCAGTGGGAAAAACCACGGGAATGGATTAGTCGAACAGAAAACCGACAACGTCAGTCCAATGATTATTCTTCTAGGTCAAGTACGTCTAATAATATTATATCGCTAAATAAATTTCTTCAA